AGCACCCGAATCATTGCAATTGGAAGAACTGGAAGAATTGTGATAAGTTAGAATTATTTGCAAGATGAATTTTGAACTCCTGAAAAGGCACCCGCCCCTTTGGGAATAATCAGAATAATTAGAGAGTTAGAAAAATTGGCACAACCAATAATCTGGAATTCGCCCTGGATAGAATATGAAACTACTCAGGATAGTTAGACAGGCACCTGTCCAGTTGGGAACAAGTAGTCAATGGGAAAAGTAGTTAATTAGAAGTCAATGAATCGGGAATTCCGCCCAACAGGGCACCTGTCCCTTTCGGAATACATGAGTAGAACAATTTGAAACATGAATCTGGGGTTCCCCAAAGGGCATCCTTCCCCTGAGGAATAATTAGAACAGCTTAAATAATTACAGGAACTTGCACATAAAGTGATGTTGATTTCCTGAGAAGGCACGCGCCCCTGTTTGAACAGTTAGAATAAGCCGAGTGGCTAGAAAAACAAAGGGCGTTATCTGGTCTGTGTTGTTTGATATTCTAATTCGGTAGACTCATTTTAATAGCTAGAACAGATACACACGATCTACGCGTACTTCCCCCAAAGGCACCCACCCCTGTGGGAACAATAAGTGAAATGTTTGGAATAATGAGAGTCACAAGGCGATTGTTTAACTGATTCAAGCTTGAAGAAGTGGAACAATTAGGACAAAGAGGAATCTGAATTCCTCAACAGGCACCCGCTCTTTCGGAATAAGTAGAGAAAGTCGAATAGTAGAGAAAGTCGAATAGGAATGATCCGTTGGGGAAATGATTATAACAAATTAAATTAGAACAAAGATGAATCTGGAATTCTCCGAAAAGCACCCGAATCATTGCAATTTGAAGAACTGGCAGAATTGTGATAAGTTAGAATTATTTGCAAGATGAATTTTGAACTCCTGAAAAGGCACCCGCCCCTTTGGGAATAATCAGAATATTTAGAGAGTTAGAATAATTGGCACACACATGAATCAGGAGTTCGCCCCAAAGGCACCCGTCCCTCTGGGAATGGATAGAACAATGAAATTATTCAGGATAGTTGGAGCAAACCTTAATCTGGAATTCCCAAAGGCACCTGTCCCGCGGGGAACAAGTTTACTATTTAGAACAGTTAGCAAAACATAGCCCTGATTGTTCTTTTATTATCATAGTTATTCGATTCAATGGTCAAAAGTAGCTAATTATGAATCTATGATTCGGGAATTCCCCACAGGCACCTGACCCTTTCGGAATACATGAGTAGAATAATTTGAAACATGGATCTGGAGTTCCCCAAAGGGCATCCTTCCCGTGAGGAATAACTAGAACAGCTTGAACAATTACAGGAACTTGCGGAACACATGATGTGGATTTCCTGAGAAGGCACGCGTCGCTGTGGGAACAATTGGAAAAATCCGAATGTCTGGAAAAAAAGGCGTTATTTGGTCTACTTTGTTAATGTGTCTAATTTGTCAGAATGAGTTTAATGGCTTGAATAGTTAGACGCAATGTTTGCGTACTTCCCCCAAAGGCACCTGCCCCCGTGGCACAAACAAGAAACAGCAAATAGGGCTACGTGTCTTCGTCTTATTCTATTTATTCTAACTAATTAGAACCACTCCAATACTCACAATGATTTAAACACATCTGCCATTTCCCAAAGGGCCCCTTCCCCATTCGGGAAAATAGACTAACACGAATGATTTTACACTTGCCTATGGCAAACATGAATCTTGAATTCGCTAAAAAGGCACCCCGCCCCTTTGAGACTAACTAGTGCAATTGGACAAATCAAAGAAGTAGAATGATTAGAACAGACACTGAATCTGGATTCCCCAAAGGGTGCCCGTCCTTTTGGAATACTTAGAATGATAATATAAAGAATCATTGGACGAGTTAAAACAGATGCATCTGGAATTCCCCAAAAGGCACCTACCTGTCTCTTGCAGAAAGACGAGTAATAGGGAACAATGTTCTAATTATACTACTTATCCAAATTCTTAGACTAAGTAGATCAACTAGCAACAATGAATTTGGATTTTCCCAAAAGGCACGCGTCCCTTTATGAGGAACACTCATTTAATAAATCGAAGATAAAACACGCATTGTAATTAGACAGTAAGTCAGGATTTCCCCAGAAGGCACCCGCCCCTTTAAACATAAACAAATGTTAGGATAATCATGAGAAGTAGAAAAATTAGCACAAACAGAGTCTGGACTTCCCCACAAGGCTCCCGGCCCATTGACAATAAGTAGAACAGTTAGACTTGTGAATGCTTAGACTAGTTAGAACAAACATTAATATTGAATTCCCCAAAGGTACCCCTCCATTTGGAAAGCAAATAAGATAATGACAATAATTTAAATCGAAGAATTACGCTGGATTAAATTGAAGAATTATTGTAATTAGACAGTGAGCCTGGATGTTCAGAAGGCACCCGCCCCGTTGGAAACAAATGTTGGAAGAATCATGAGAAGTAGACTAATTAGCACAAACTCCCGGCCGATGAAAATAAGTAGAAGAGTTGGAGTTGTGAACGCTTAGACTAGTTGGAACAAACATGAATATTGAATTCTCCAAAAGGTACCCCTCCATTTGGGACGCACATAAGATAATGATAGTACTTATAAGAAGTAGAAGAATTAGAACAAGCTTAGATCCTGTTTCCTGGTGAAATTGAACCTGAAAGTTCCCAAGCACGCCGGGAATAATGGGAATAATGGGAGGAATTAGAGACTTAGAAGACATGGATTTGGAATTCCCAACTGTCACCCTCTCTACTCACCAAAAGAAGGCTGCTCATCTGGAAATTTTTCAAATGATTGGAACAGTGTGGGAAAACTATGGAATTCACCAAAAGGCCCCATCTCTTTTGATAAAAGTATCATACCTAGAGCAAACACGAGTCTGAAACTCTGTAAAAGGCACCCCCACCCCCTAGAGATTACAATTAGAAGAACTAGAAGAATTGTGTTAAATAAAGCAATTTGCAAGATGAATCTTGAATTCCTCAAAAGGCACCGGAATAATCAGAATAATTAGAGAGTTAGAATAATTGGCACAAACACTCATCTGGAATTCGCCCAAAAGGCACCCGTCCCTTGGGCAATGGATAGAATATGAAACTACTCAGGATAGCTGGAGCAAACATGAGTCTGAAATTCCCAAACAGGCACCTGTCCAGTTGGGAACAAGTAGAATATTTAGAACAGTTAGCAAAACATATATATTCTCTTATCGTCCTGGATATTCGGATCAATGGGAACAGTAGTTAAGTAGAAGTCAATGAATCGGGAATTCCGCCCAACAGGGCACCTGTCCCTTTCGGAATACATGAGTAGAACAATTTGAAACATGGATCTGAGGTTTCCCAAAGGGCATCCTTCCCGTGAGGAATAACTAGAACAGCTTGAACAATTACAGGAACTTGCAAATAAAGTGATGTTGATTTCCTGAGAAGGCACGCGCCCCTGTTTGAACAGTTAGAATAAGCCGAGTGGCTAGAAAAACAAAGGGCGTTATCTGGTCTGTGTTGTTTAATCTTCTAATTCGGTAGACTCATTTTAATAACTAGAACAGACACACACGATCTACGCGTACAAATACGGCTACGCGTCTTCGTCTTATTCTATTTATTTCACCGAGTTGGAACCACTCCAAGACTTGAAATGATCTAAACACATCTGCCATTTCCCCAAGGGCCCCTCGGGAAAAAATAGAGTAACGAGAATGGTTCTGACACTTGCGTATTGCAAACATGAATCTTGAATTCCACAATAATTGGTGTAATTGGACAAATCAACCGTAGAATGATTAGAACAGACACTCAATCTGGATTTCCCCAAAGGGTGCCCGTCCCTTTGGAATACTTAGAATGATAATATCAAGAATCATTAGACGAATTAAGTCAATTGCATCTGGAATTCCCCAAAAGGCACCTGTCCCTTTCAGAAACATGAGTAATAGGGAACTGTGTTCTAATTATACTACTTATCCAAGTTCTTAGCATAAGTAGATCAACTAGCAACAATGAATTGGTTAGTTTCTCAAAAGGCACGCGTCCCTTTGGGAATAACTAGCATAACCCGAATAATCAGAAGAGTATAGCCAGGAAATCCACGAAAGCACCCAACCCATTTTGAATAAATCGAAGAATTAGGCTAGTTAGACCATCATTGTAATTAGACAGTGAGTCTGGATTTCCCCAGAAAGCACCCGTCCCTTTGGGAACACATGTTAGGATAAATAAGGATTAGCTCAAAGTGAATCTGGACATTCCCAACAAGGCGCCCGGCCACTGAAAAACAGAATGTTAGAATTGTGAGAATGCTTAGAATGATTAGAACAAGCATGAGTGTTGCATTTCCCGAAAGGAAGCCCTCGCTTTGGAAATAAAATAAGATAAGATACTAGGTTTAGAAGCAGAATAGTTAGAGCAAGCATGGATCTGAAATTCGCCAAAAGGGCTCCAGTCCCTTGCGGGAACAAAACAATTAGAATAGCTGCACAAAAATGGAAATTGCGTTGAAGATCCAAAGCACGCCCGTCCATTCGGGAATATTTGGAAGAATTAGACACTTAGAAGAATTGGATTTGGCATTCCTCAACAGTCACCTGCCCCTGTAAAAGTATATGGAGTGATTCGAATAATGAAAACAACAAGGGGCGTGCGGGTCATGTGAGCCACGCGCGCGCGCGCGCCACATTATACATGGTCTACCCTTCCACGGGGGGGGGGGGCTAAACCGTTTTTTTTTCCAAGTGGAACGGGTACCTGTCTTTCAGGACGCTGTTTGGTTGCTTGGTTCTCTTTGTTTTTGCGGAACTGCCTGGCTGGAGTTAGTTCATTGGCACGTGGCCGCGTGCCGCAAGAGACACATGTTTTTTTTGGAAGAGAAAACGGCACAGAATGCCAACATCAAAAGAGCAATGACGGTCAATGACATGTTAACCCTTTCCAACCAGATACTTCACATAAACCTTTCTTTTGCCCTTGCGCAGGCTGACTCTTCTCGGCTTCTGGCTGCCAATGAGGCTCGGTGGGAGCCCAGATCCGCCAAGCAAAATCTACGTTTTGGGGAATCGGGAATCGTCAGGAATCGTCGTTCCTGACACTGTTTCTGTTTTTGTCCGTGCCGCTGCTGTCGTGGTTGTGGGTTGTGGTGGTTGTGGTGGTTGTGGTGGTTGTGGTGGTTGTGGTGGTTGTGGTGGTTGTGGTGGTTGTGGTGGTTGTGGTGGTTGTGGTGGTTGTGGTGGTTGTGGTGGTTGTGGTGGTTGTGGTGGTTGTGGTGGTTGTGGTGGTGGGTGTGGTGGGTGTTGTGGGTGTGGTGGTTGTGGTGGTTGTGGTGGTTGTGGTGGTTGTGGTGGTTGTGGTGGTTGTGGTGGTTGTGGTGGTTGTGGTGGTTGTGGTGAGTGTGGTGGTTGTGGTGGTTGTGGTGGGTGTGGTGGGTGTGGTGGTTGTAGTGGTTGTGGTGGTTGCGGTGGTTGTGGGTTGTGGTGGTTGTGGTGGTTGTGGTGGGTGTGGTGGTTGTGGTGGGTGTGGTGGGTGTTGTGGGTGTGGTGGTTGTGGTGGTTGTAGTGGTTGTGGTGGTTGTGGTGGTTGTGGTGGTTGTGGTGGTTGTGGTGGTTGTGGTGGTTGTGGTGGTTGTGGTGGGTGTGGTGGGTGTGGTGGGCTGTGACTGTGGCTGTGCGTGTGGCGTGTGGCGTGTGGGTGCGGGTGCGGGTGCGGGTGTGGGTGTGGGTGTGGGTGTGGGTGTGGGTGTGGGTGTGGGTGTGGGTGTGGGGTGGGTGTGGGGTGGGGGGTGGGGTGGGGTGGGGTGGGGTGGGGTGGGGTGGGGTGGGGTGGGGTGGGGTGGGTGTGGTGTGGTGGGTGGGCGGGCGGGTGTGGTGGGTGGGCAGGCGGGTGTGGTGGGCGGGTGTGGTGGGTGTAGCGGGTGGGTGTGGTGAGTGGGGCGAGTCGTTTAATGGATTTTGAAAATTCCTTTTGCAGTATAGTTACGAAAGACGGACTCCCCTGCCACTTTCTTGTTTCTCATTCTTGAATCTTAATTTGTGATTAGACAGCCAACACGCATGCGCCCGTTTCACCGTGGGCGTGCAGAAAAAACGCAAAGCTATTTGGCCCAACGGTAGTCGGACTCATTGACATTCTCTGTCTGGTTGAAATGGCCTTGGTTTCTTTTCTCGTAACACGAGTTCGCGTGCGCTGCCCGGCCCCCAGAGTCTCACGAAACACAGACAAACGTTGATAAACCCTCTCCTTACTTTGTTTGGTTTGTGGTGGCCGAAACAAAAACTCGTGCTCCGGGCATTCACAAACAAATGCTCCTTATAGCCGAGGGAAAGGCTTGCTGTCGAAAATCGTTATCTCAAATCGTGGTCTGCTTTGTTGCATCTAAGCCTCCTTGATTGGAGGTTGGGGGTGGATACGGCGTGCGTGGGTTGAGGGTCGGGTGGGGCGAGTGTGGGTGGGTGGTGGGGTGTGGGTTGGTGTGGGTTGGTGCGGGTGGGTGTGAGTGGGTGTGGGTGTAGTGGGGTGAGTGTGGGTGGGGTGTGGTGGTGGGTGGGCGTGGTGCGGTGTGAGTGGGTGGTGTGGTGGTGGGGGTGGTGGTAGGGGTTGTGGCGCGGGTTTGGTGCCGACGAGCCAGGACACCCAGCAGTTGTGGGCGAGGAGGTTGAGCGCCTTGTTTTTCGGGCACCGGTCATGAGGGGGTGGGGTGGGGTGGGGGATGGGTTGTGGCGGGGGTGCGTGGTCGGTGTGGGGGTGTGTTGGGTGGGTGGGCGGTGGTGGTGCTGCTGCTGGTACTGATACTGGTTTTGGCTTTTGTTGTTGTTGTCATTGATGTTGTTACTGCTGCTGTTGCTTTTGCTTTTGCCGAGACAAACCTACACCAAGCTGTTCACCAGGCCTTGACGAAGGAGAATGAGGAGTTGTGCTGCAGGCGTTCGGGCAAGATTCTGGATGGGCCACCGGTTCGCAGTACACCCGGTACCTGACGCCGAGGCTCCAGACGATGGCACCCAAATCAGACACTGAGGAGGCGCATATGTTGAATAGTCACCCAACGGGTATGCATATATATGTTGTTTCTGTGGCAAGTTTGCCTGCGTACTGCTTGGCAGATTGCAGCTCCTGCGGCTAAAGCTAATGAAATTGTGGTACAGACCGGGCGGAGTGACAGATGTGTGCCAGGCATATTTGGCAGCAATCAATGCCGCCGAGCAGTGGGTTGCAGCCTAAGTCAGGCATCTGGAAGGAGCGAAGTGACTCAACTAGCCGTGACCAGATTGAGAGACCCTGGAGAAACAGGGGGTGCTTCACGGAGAAAGGAATCCCTAACCCCACCCAAAAGGGAAGCTTCTTAGACTCCAGAGGTTGGCTCACCGGACATCATCCAAACATATTGGCGTGTGTTGGCATGTCTTTTCCTTGCCCATTGAAATTGCTTGCCAGGTCCTGTACCATGCAGGCATGCCGCTGGAGGGCAGTAGCATGCCCTACTTGCGAGGAGCCCGCCGCCCAGAGGCACAGCGAATTTCTGGGCGACATTTTTTTTGGACAATTGAATCACCGAGTTGAAGTCTTCTTTGTGGCAAAAGCATACAAAAGCGGGGAGGCGATTTTTGGCGGACAGGGGGGATGATGCAGACGCTTCTGACCGCTGGGTTCGGAGTTCTCAGGTCACTGTGTACTTCCAGGAGTTTTCGGCTTCCCTGGTGCCGCTGGTGCTGGCACGGCGCTCAGATGTTTGAACGGTCCAAGCCAGGGTTTGATTGAGGTTGCAGCAAGGCCGACTTGAACCTAGAGGTGGTTGATTTCCCTGAGCGGAAACCTGTTCAAGGCCTCGGGGCAATCCAAAATGAAACGTTGGAAAAAGCAATTGAGGGACTGCTCGGATGCCAGGAGCACTCGTGAAAATCCATCGAGATAAACATGCTGAAAGAATTCCTACCGAGCATGCCCGACGAGCAACACAAGTGGTCCCGACTTGGGCATGTCGGGAAGGCCACCAATCCGCGGCAGCTCCGGCCGGGGAGCTAAGCAAGCTTGCAGATTTGCCTTCACTTTCCATGCAGGTTGCGTGCCTGCATGTGTGTATTTGGGCAAAAATTATTTTGGCCTCGAAGGGAAGGCACAACCATTTTGGGTGCTCCCATTTTGAAGAGAAGCTGTTCCCAACGTGACCTGACTGGCGAAGGTCAGCAGCTGCTGCGGTTGAAAGCACAGCTTCCTGCTTATGCATGTGCGCAAGGTGTCGGCATGAGTCGGGCTTTTGTACTACACCCTGGGTTTCTCACTGAAATATGTCCTATTTTTCTGATGTCAGATGACACCTGGATCACGTTCGACAATGTAGTGTCATGTTCCCATGGCATACTCTCAGGGTGTAATACCAAAACCCGTGTGCACGACCATTTTCCTGGACCCTTGGGTCGCTGAGGGGTTCATAGGCGATGGACCCTGGGGTGCTTCTGATATACACCCCTGTACACTGCCTGCATGAACAGGTACTCAGTATGTTTAGGGTACATATCAGGCGCACCTACCGAGAATTCAAGCGCCAATGTCTACAGTTAGGTGAAAGCAAATGGCATTATCCCCCCCCCCCATTTTCGTTGATCTTTGGTTGGTGTTTTTTTATGGACACCAAATTCGGAATCCGAGCGGAATCAGAAAAACAAACTGTTGCCGACAGGAGCCAACTGAGTGCTTTGTTGGGGGTCGTAGTGCTTGCAGGGCTTGACATGCATCTACTAAATCTAGCGCTTGACCACCCACACCCACGCGCTTTGTCGCTCTTTATGGAGGATTTTAGTTGGAATCCACCTTCCGAAGTGTAGGCCCCTCCCAGAGAGCGGCGGCGCGCTTGCATGCGCGCTTGCATGCGCGCTTTTAGCGCGCGTGCCAGGCTGCGAGCTTGCCCGCGCCACTTTGCAGTGCTTCAGGACGGGGACCGACGTCCCGTTTCGGGGTTGCGGGTTGTCAGGAATTTGACCCAGAGGTGTGTTCTGTTTTGTTTTTGTTTTTGTTGCGGGGGGGTGGGGCGGGGGTGGGGGGGACCAAAAAAGGACGACGGCACCCTCACACATCAAGGCTGGCTTGGAAGGCTAGCTAGTTTGCAAGGTGGCTAGGGAAGTTAGCCAGCCAGTTAGCCAATTAGCTGGTTTTGGCCGTGAGCTAGTTCCAGAATTTGCTCGCTAGCCATTGGGCTGGCTAGCTAGCTAGTTTCCTGGTAGCAGGTAGCACTTAGTCGCTAGCTGGTTTGCTTGCTGGCGAATTCACTAGCTAGGCAATTAGCTTAGTCAGCTAGCTTGTGAGTAGCTATTGGGTTCGCTGAAGACTTAGCTAGCTTGCTTGCCAGCTAGCAGCTAGTTTGCCCGCGTGTTTGCTTAGGGAATCTAGTTCGAGACTTAGCTAACGAGTCAGCCAGCCAGGTCAGCTAGATGGCTATTCTGTAGGCTGCTAGCCAGCTAGCATGAGTTAGCTAGCGACAGAGTTCCAGTACAGAAGTTCCTTCTAAACTTGATGCCAGTTGCGATTCATCAAAAGCGTGCTGGGGCATAGGCGGATCTGTGAAGCGCCTTCTTGGCGCTTCACAGGGTACTCGAATAGATTTTGGGAGCATCGATCCTTTCCATGCTGGTGCGATAACTAGGGAATGTGGGAATGAACCCAGCCTATCGCACCGAGCGCAATCAATTGGTGGTTTGGAGCCGAATCCGTGGTTTGGCGCTTCAGGGTAGTTTCACCCTTTACCGTTACCCTCTACCAGAGCAAGGGCTTCAAATCCAAAGCCAACCAATCCAAACCAGTACCTAAGGGTTGCTCGAAGTTTAAGTCGTGAGCTTGGAATCTGGACCATTCTGCTTGAAGGTTACTTGCTTTGGGAGGCTTTGTGATGCACAGTGCTGCGGGTACCTGAGCTGGGATGCGGAAGAGGCCAAGCAGAGATATCCTCGTTGCCCGGCTTGCAAATCCCATTTTGGTGTATTTTTAGTCAAGGCCCCAAAAGGTGCCTCAGCTTGTATTTCTGGGTCCGGCATGGCGACTGAGCTATCCAAGTGTTGCCAGTGGTTGTCTGAAGTTCACATCTCTCCTGCCATCTGACAGCATGAGACATGGTCCTTGGAGGTGTGCGACCTCGTGCATGCGGTATTCCAGCGCAAGGGCTTGCCGACACCCAGCAAGGCTGGGACATGCTCCCGAAACGACATAGCTGACATGTGCTGCATGGGTTTATTTCGCCATGGTTCAAAACCAATGGTACCGTGTTGGGGTAGGTGCACCACCCGTTTTAGAACCTATTTTGGTGGGGATTGGGATGTTCACTGGGGGTAGGATTTGGGTTATGACCCATGGCCCATGGCTATTGGTTTGTCCCTGTTGTCTTGCATGTTTCACGAATGCCTTCCCCGAGGGCCTATGATCTGGAGTGTGAATCATATTGCTGGGCAGAAGCTGCAGGCTGAAAGGTAGGCTGCAACATTCTGCCTGGAAGGAAGCACGCACGTGCAATCAAGAAGCATGCATTCTTGCGGGTGCAGTTTCAGGAAAAGTCAGAGGCCTGTCTCGCAGGAATGTTTACTCACAACACCGGAAGGAACCCCCCCAACCAATCTCAATAGCCCCACCCCCACTAATCACCCCATTTCAGGCTTTGGGAGTAAAAGCCATGCCCGCCAGGATCTACAGCATTTGATGTTCACGAAGTTTGACGAGGCAAAAGTGACCGCTCGCGCGTGATTTGTAGCTGCTCGCTTGTTTTTTGCCTTTCGGGCCCTCAGTGCCAGGTGGCGCGTTGCACTTTGGGGGGCGCTCTGGGGTGCGGTCCAAAGGCCTTGGCAGTCCACTTCTGTTTCTCTTGCCAAAGAGAGCTGAAGCAAAACTCCAATCTCCACTCCGGGCCTCCGGGCCAGGGGATACCTGTCCGGACATACATAGAACCTGACAAGGGAAGGCCATTCAATTCTCTAAGTAAACCCTGGTGGGTTCAATGGGTAAGGGTGAAAACCAAGCCCAAAAAGAAGAGGTTCCCCAAGTGCCATCCGCTCAAAGGGCATGCGCTTGGCCTTTGTTTACACACATCTCAAAGACAGACCTGTTAAACTGTGAGCTGGTGAGTCCGCTTATTTGTTACGACCAAGCCTTCGCGGCTGCGATGCTAGGATTTGAGCGGCAGGCTTTGCGCACAGGACAGGGAGGGGTTGTGGAACGGAACACACCCAAAATCTAGGGTTGATTCCCCATTTGTTTACCCCTGGTTCGTAGGAGAACCACCCATTTCCTCATCGTTTTGCCTACTTTCTGAAAAGAAGGATCCCGGGAGTGCGGTGAGACGGATGGGGTTTCCTTTAGGTGACTCCGACTTGTTGCCTCCTTTGAATGTCCCTAATAATGTTGGAGAGTGATTAATAAAGGCCACCCCCCCTTCAAACAAATTGGGGGGGTCAACAGCGAAAACCGCAAAAACAAAATGGGGGTCAGACTGGGACCTGCCTGAGTAGTCTTCCACTAATTGTTTTTATTATTGGTTTAGTATCAGTTCAGTATTTTTTCAGTTGACTCACTACAGTTTAGAATTGGTTTAGTATTGGTTCTTCTTCTCGGCAGGCTGCCCTGGCTAAAAAGAATCACAATTCCCTACCCTTAAACAAACTGCATTATTGCCTTCCTGGGGGTTCCGTGTGCCACCCCCTTGAAAATTTGTCAGGGTGCATCTTCTAGTAAAGGGATTGATAAGGAATTTGGTTGTTTGGGACAGGAAGCAATCCAGAGATTCTGGCCTTTTCTGGACGCAAACGTTTCAACCCTCAAACATAGTCCATTCTTGGAAGGGAACATATTCTCGGGATTTCGGGCAGATGTTTTTCTGTAATACCTACCCTTTTTGCTTTCAGGAGAGTGAATAATTTTGAGATGTTTTTTTCTGCATTCACTCCCCTTTTATTAGTCGCTATCTAACATTACCATCAACTGACTGGGAGCCATGGGATGTGCTTGAGGATCCGAGGTGATAGCTACATCCCAAATGGGTCACCAAGCAAAAGCTCGACAGGGAAGGGTCCTGGAGTACAGCAATCTGTCCGCATGTTGCATCAAGGACTGCCTTTGTTTGGTGGACGCGCTCTTCCGGGTCTTGCCCTTTGGCAGCACGGTTGCAGTCGTGAGCACAAGCTGACTAAGGCCGTACTGTCATCCCCGGCGGCTGTTTCCGCCACTTGGCGTCTTGCAAAGCATCCCCCTGAAAAGAGCTCCGTTTGGAGGAAAAGACTGGGATTCACTTGGGTGTGGCCCAAAATTAAACAGGAGGGGTTACGCAGGTTTTGGTCCATGTTTCTACTTACCAGGGTTCCATTTTGGTACCGGTTTTTTGAGCCACAGCCACTTGCCGGACATGGCTGGCAGGCCCGCATGACTGAACAAGCACCAGAGGGGCCCATCGTGTCTCCTGGCAGCGATCTCAGCGGGCTGTAGTCTTCAGGTCAATTAAGCTTATAGGCTTATATCTCTTTGCAGGAATCGGGAAGCAATGCAAACTCGAACTTGTACAATGTATCACTGGCGACTGGCCACTGTTGGTAGGGGGCTCCCAGCTAGGCCTGAATCCTTTGCTTGCGCCTGATCACACGTTCGTGGATTTGATCTGTTTGAGTTGCATTGTAGGAACCCCCTGCGACGGGTCTGCATGTAGTTGCGCTCTCGCTTCTGCTTTTGCTTCTGTTTTTGTTGCTTGGCCTGAGTTGATCCTGGAGTGGCGCTCGGGCCCCTTGAAGGTTTGCCCGCACGCCCGAATCGTACCCAGGTGTCAGCGTCACTGTCGAAGCAGGGGACTGAGCCATGCTGAATCAACGTTAGGCCTTCAGACAGTACCAGCTATAACTCAGTTGAAACGAACTCTCCGGCTTATGTGTTGCCTTCAATACCAACAACTCAATCCCAAGGGATTGATTGCCAACAGCAATGCAGTATGTTGCAGTCCCTGCGCGGAAGGTCAACTGCATACAGGGTCAAAGGCCGACTGTGCTGATTTGACACGCAATTGTACTGAATGTTATGCGCTCACTAGGTTCAAGAATCGGTTGTTGCAACTATGTGTGTGCGGTTCCCTTGCGTCATACTTGCGTGTGTTGTTCCTGCTACGTGTATCGAACAGGGGTGCCAACGCAGGCTTATCTCTAGACTTAATGACTCTGACAATCAGTTTGCCGGGGCATGAAGGTTAGCTTCTTGCTTGCGGAAAAAAACGCACGGCTAAACCATGCGCTCCTGGGCAGGTGACCCAGACATACCATACACATACTCGCTTGAGTCCTGATATACAGCCTTCATATTAGTTTTGACGGTACCATCCTAAAAGGGGGTCCCAAAACAGACACAGCGGACTTTCTGAATTCCATATTTACTTGCAGTGTATATACCAGGGCTAATCCAGCGCGTGTTTTTTTGCCACTGAGGCCCGGCAAATGGACTTCATGGCACAGTCACGCCTGCAGCGGCGACTCGAAGAGGCCAGACATCCACCAGTTGGCAAGCAGGTCATCCCAGATTTCACGCGGGTTTCATCCCGAACTGGTGCAGGATGTTGGTGGCGTCCAGCGTCTGAAAACTTGAAAAATGCGAGCGGTTGCCTTTGTGCCGTGTGGCATGCCATCGTGCCAGCCAAATTACCGCCTGCCAGAGCAAAGCTTGCAACCTGTCTTCCTTTTTTCGCAACTGACGATATGCCCCCTGCCCGGGCTACCTCCACCCACTTCTTGATGGCCCTGGTTGGGCCCCCCTAGTGGTGAAGCTTGTCACCCACGGCCTCGAACCAAATGTAGCTTGTCGCTTGAAGTTTGACCGAGCCAAGTCAAGCGCCGCTGAAAAGACATCTTGGAACAACGGCTGCTTAAACTGCAGCCGACAAGCAAGGGTTTTTGGGCCCAATCCTGATGTTTGGGGATTTGAGCGGTCCTTGGGTAGATGGGGTTTCCCCCTCCTTAAGCGACCACCAAACCCCAGGGCTCCAAGCCACCAACTAAGCGGAGGCTGAGAATACCCAGCCTGGGGTCAAGGCTGAGAGGGCTGCCCAGCGCGCCGTGGAAGGCGCCGCAGGCAAGGACCGAGGAATGGTCAACTCGCAGAGGGCCGACTTTTCCTTCGGTACCTTTTTGGGGCTGGTTTCGGAATGTGTAGCCGCAATTTCGGGTCCTGGGAGCCGCGATGTTGAGCCAAAGCCCCATGTTTTTTGTTTTTTTTATTGGGCAAGTTACTTGGGACTGACAGGCCTGGAGTGTGATTTGTGCTCGGTCCAGCATGACGGCAGCTTCCATGTCATTAGCACACGGACCGGAAAAGTGTATGATGTGTTGAGCGTGGATGCGCTTGGTATAGTTTTTGTCCCCCATTGTAAAGCGATGTCTTTCACAAGCCGATGCCCAAGAAAACGACCAATGGTAGAAGATCATGCTAGCTGCTACCTCAGCAGCCAAGCTGAATTCCTTGTGATGAGTGGGACTGGGTCCAAATCATTCCGTTGGTAGCTCCTCGTTTGCTTTGCTCAGAGCGCCGGCCCGAACATTGACGCAAGGTTCAATGCAAGAGCCTCTCACAGCACCCGGATCCTTGGCTGTCGGTGGCTGAGTAATCAGCGAAAAGTGTGGATGGAAGCACAGCCCGGCCTTGTGAATTTGCCCGGCTTTCAGTTTCAACGTGTCAAGGATTCATTCGTCGGCAAGTGGATGAGCAATCCCTGAAGCCCCAGGTGCCGTTAAGACAGCTTGCCCCATGCCGCGCCGGCCTCAATCCAATTGGGCGTGGGTCTTCCGAGCAATCACCGAGGTTGTCAAGACAAAAGCCAGTAAATCATTAAGTACATTTTACCTGTGGTTGCAGACTATGTCACACCATCACACGAGACGGTGCAGCACCAGAGTGCCGAGAATGGGCTGGTGCTTTGGTTCATAGCTACCTCCCCTCTGACAAGGCTTAGTTTGAGCTTGGTTTGGTTTGCTTGTTGGTTTTTGTTTGTTTGTGGGACTGTTGGTGTGTTGCTTTGTAGGTTTGTTGTGTTGTTTGTTTTGTTGCTTGGTTGGATGCGTGTGTGCTTGCTGACTGGCTGGCTCGCTGGCTGGTTGGTTAGCTGGTGTGCTTGCCTGGCGGCCTTGCCTTGCCTTGCCTTGCCTTGCCTTGCCTTGCCTTGCCTTGCCTTGCCTTGCCTTGCCTTGCCTTGCCTTGCCTTGCCTTGCCTTGCCTTGCCTGCCTGCCTAACCGGATGGCTGACGCACGCACGCACAAACACACACACACACACACACACACACCCTCGCGACAACTGATAAGCAATCGAGCAATCCCACAAATACAAACAGTCCACACACAACAACATAGCACGTCAAAACCAGAAACACACAAGCTAACAAGCTAACAAGCTAGCAAGCAAGCAGGCAGGCTCCGTAATGTGTGTTCACGTGAGGTAGATGACATAGGGCCCTTCTCACCCAATTCGAGGGGTGTTCAGCTGCACTCCGGAGGCATTGCCTTCGCACACCATCGCCCGCCCCGCACGCACGCCTGAGAACATCAACTGGGTCACGTCCTGTTCTTATTCCGCCAAAATGCATGGCTTGATCAGCCAGACCGGCTGAAAGGCCATCTGGGGACCGAATCCTTTTTACTTGGTGGCTCCGCGTGCGTGCGTGCGTGCTCTATTGTGTGCTGCATGTTGTGTTCTTTATTGGTTGGTGGCTTAACTCATCGATTCAAGTGTGTGTTGTTTGTGTCTTTGCTTGTTGTTTGATTGTATTCTTGCTCGCTTGCTTGCCTGCCTGCCTGCCTGCCTGCCTGCTTGCTTGCTTGCTTGCTTGCTTGCTTGCTTGCTTGCTTGCTTGCTTGCTTGCTTGTGCTCATGCTTGCGAGCATATTTTTTGCTCGGCACACACATCCGAACCTATGTGAGTGCTGCAGGCACAGCACTGAGCCCTCCGGGGAGCTATGCCGAAAGGACGTCACGGAGTCTTTGTCAGCTTGTGTTGCTGCAATTGGGCGTGCTTGTCATGCTTAGTGGGCCAGTGCCCGAACCCCATCGCTCCAAAGCAAAGATATGCTAGGACTGCGCCAAACGCAGCTGCCTCAGTTGCAGCATCGTGCCCGCAAAGGTTGGCAGGTGGGGTCAATGTACGACATGCCAAGAGCCATCAAGCCAGTGCCTGGCGTGCTCAGGTGAGACTGCTCGATCCAGCACGTATTCTACACAGTAGCAGTAGGTCTTGAAAGCCTGCTATGAAAGGTGTTCGACAATGTATGTCTTTGGCCAACACAAAGAGGTTGGCAGAAGTTGTGTTGTTAGCGGTTCCTGCAATGGGAAAAAGACAATTACATGAACGATCCATTTATCCAATGCATAAACTCAGGTGTCACCATGCATATATTTTTTGTATATCAAAACATACAGAAATGTTCCAGCTAACGGTAGGCCTGGTGTGGTTTGGGGTTGGTTTTGGATTGCTTCAGGGTTAGTTTGAGGCTGGTGTAGGGTTGGTTTAGGGTTGATTTCGGGCTCGTTTAGGGTTGGTTTACGATGGATTTAGGGTTGGCTCGGGTTGGCTTAGGGTGGGTAGGGTTGTTAGGATGTGTGTTTAGGGTTGGTTTAGGGTTGGCTTTGTGGGGGCGGAGGTGTCGGGGTGCGTGTTTGGGGGTCAGCATTGCCAGCATCATCGATCCATGCAGAAGAAACAAACAGACAGACAGAAACAAACAGACAGAAAGACAGGCAGGCAGAGAGGCAGGCAAAGAGGCAGAGAGACAAAGAGAGAGAGAGAGAGAGAGACAGAGACAGAGACAGAGACAGAGACAGAGACAGAGACAGAGACAGAGACAGAGACAGAGAAGAACACAAAGCGACAGAGACACAAAAGAACATAAAGAAACAGAGACACAGAAACACAGAGACGCAGAGACACAGAAGGACACAAAGACACAGAGACACACAAAAACAAAACACAAAGAGGCAGACAAAAACAAAGAGATAGAGGAAGAGAAAGAAAGAGAGATAGAGAGAGACAAAGAGGCAGAGAGGCAGAGAGAAAGACAGAGAAACAAAGAGACAAAGAGACAGAGAGACGAAGAGATAGAGCAATAGAGAGAAAGAAAGAAAGAAAGAAAGAGAGAAAAAGACAAAAAGCGAAAAGGAGAAAGAGAAATGAGAGAAAGAGAGTCAGAGAGAAATAAAGAAAAAGAGAAAGAGAGAAAAAAGAAAGAGGGAAAGAAGGAAAGAGAAAAAGAGAGAAACAGAGACACAAGGAGAAAGAGAGAAAGAGGGACTGAAGGAAAGAGGGAAAGAGGGAAAGCACAAAATGTTCAAGAAATTTCGATTCGGGCAGGTCCCTAAATTCCCCCGCAAATTTGACCCGCTTTTTTTCCGGTAAGCCGCTTTTTCGGTAAGCCGCCAATTTCTGAAGAAATTTGCGGGGGTAACGTCTGGAGATCTGAGAGCCGGGTGGCCGGGAAAATTTGGGAGAATGGTTAGGTTATGCCGTGAGAACTCTAAGCAAACATCTGAAGAACCCCCGAAATTTCGGGGATTTCCGGGCGCTAAGAGGCAAAAGCTTGTGCCGCGGAGAGAAGATCGGGATAGGCGAACGATTACGCAAGCACGACGATTTGGCCGGATTACCGCTACGACACTTTACGATAAATACAAAACGCGATCCTCGAGGTCGCCGGTTTATAGAAAATATATATAATTTATATATAGATTTTATATATTTATAATTAATATACATATATATTGATTTTAAAATTCATTAAATTTTATATAAAAAAACAAAAAATGGAATTGTAATAATTTAATTAATTGTTTTAAATATGTTTTAATATATTAAAATGAAATTAAAATAATAAAATATTATTTTTTTAATTATATATATATATAAATAGATTATTCAAAATTATAAATAATATGGTTTTTAAATTTATTAAATAAATTAACATTGAAATATTATATAATTTTAGGATTTAAATATTATATATTAATATATATTAATTGGATTTATATATATTATGATTGGTTACTTATTTATACATATAAAATCATATAGATAAATACCATTTTTTGATATTTTTGATAGGTTAAATATTGATGTTTATAATGTAAAAAATATTGGATGATAAAATGGATTTATATAATGTTAAAATTCAAAATTTGATGTTTGTTTTTATGCGAGTAAAGGGTTAAAAATATTAGGGTTTTCTTTTAATTTAATTTAATATTGAATATTATATTAATAAAATATAATTTGAAATTTATTATTTTATAGATTTTTTTTTTTAAATAAATTTATTTATTTATTTTTGAAATATAATTATTAATTTAATGCAATACTATAAATCGAAATATTTATATTTATTTTTTATAAAATAGAATTGAAAAACATTATTTCATATATTTATAATTTAATGTTATTTTAGATATTTTGTTCCGAAAACGAAGCCTAAATTAAATATAGAAAAAATAAAATAATTAATTAATATATTTAATAATAATTTTGATGTATTTCGAAAGAAAACACCATATAAAAATATATATAATTATGAAATGATTATTATTTTAAAAATAGATAATTGGCTTAGGATATGTTCGATTAAATTGACGATTTATTATTTATTAATATTGACTTCTCGAAATATAATTTATATGATTGGGAATTTTGTAATTTTTAAATGTTATTATTTTATAAAAATAAATTTAAATATATTATATATATTATTTCGAAGAATTTTTGGTTTTTTAATTTTGAAAATTTGAAAAATTAATATATAATTTTTATTAAATATTATGCACCATTTGTTTATTAATTCCCGAATAAGATTTACGGGAATTTTAAAAATCTTTAATTTTCTTAATTCTATATTTAGCTTTAAAACAAATAATTATATATCTTTTTTAATTTTATATTTTAGAAATAATGGAACAGAAATCTCTTATATTAATAATTTAGAATTCTGATTATAAACACATATATATTTGTTTATAAAATCGATATATATTCAATGTATTAATTACAATCCTCCAATTTAAAAAATATAATATTACCAAAATATAAATTATATAAAAAAAATATTCAAATAATATATAAAGTAAAAAAAATAATTCGTCAAATAAATCCCCAATCATTCCTGTTTATTAAGCATTCTTCTTCCCCTCTATTATTATAATAAATTAAATTTCATTAAATTATCTTTATTTTATCTTTCTTAAATTCATCCCAATATCAATTCAAAAAAAATAAACCCCAAAAAACACCAATTCCATTATTATTATTATTTTTAATTATCAAATAAAAATAAAAAATATATTTGTATAAATATTCGTTTTTTTTTGTTTTTTTTATAAAAATAATAATAAAATAATAATAAAAAATAAAATTAAATAAATAATATCAAACAATAATTATAATAGTAAAACAAATAAATCAATAAATAAATACATAAATATAAATACCAAAACAAAAAACAATTTCAACAAAAAATCACAAAAACATTTAAAAAAAAATAGAAAGAAAAAAACACAACAAAAACATAGAAAAATAAATAATCAAAAAGCCAAAGACATAAAGAGAAGTAAAGACACAAAACACGAAAAAACAAAGATACAAAACACAAAGACAACAGAAACACAACAAGAAACAAACAAACAAAAATACAACATAAATAAAGACACACAGACACACAGACACACAGATATACAAGAACAAAGAAACAAAAAGACCCAGAGAAAAAATGACAAAAAGGAAAAAAAAAAAGAGAAAAAAAAGAGCAAGTGAGAAAGTGAAAAAGAGAATAAAAACGAAAAAAAAAAAAGGAAAACAAAAAAAAAGGAAACAAAGCAAAAACACAAAATTTTCGAGAAATTTCGATCCAGACAAATTCCTAATTTTCCCGGAAATTTAACCCGGTATTTTTTTCGGTAGGCCGCCAAATTCTAAAGATTTTAGGGGGGGGGGGGGGGGTACCGTCTGGAGTTCGGACTGCCGGATCGCCGAAAACGAGCCAAAATTCGAGAAAAATTGGCCAGGCTATGCCGCGGGAACTCCAAGCGAAGATCTATAAAACCTCCCAATTTTTCGGCAAAATTTCGGGACTTCCGGATTACGAAAAAGGCAGGAGCTTACGGGATAGGCATAACCGCTCGCCACAAAACGCGACGATTCGGCCGAAATACGCGACCTCGACCGCACCGGTTTATAAGAGAATAGTATATAATAATCAATCTATGTTTTTTCTATATTCAATTTAACCATTTAAAATCTATATAATATTTAAAATATATATTCATAGAAAATAAGTTTTATATTAATAGAAATGTTGATTGTTTTTTTATTATAAATTAAATATAAATATCTTTAGAAATAAAAATTGAATCTAAAAATATATAAATTGTATCCATCTATAATTGGTATATAAGTGATCTTTAATTGTTTTCAAATATAATTAAGTTTATTTAGAATTATATAAACACTGTGAATATGTGGAATTGTAATTTCAGGATTTTATGTCAGGGTTAAAAGGGAAATATCAAAGGTCGATTTGTCATATTTTGCCCCTTGCGCTCTCTTGAAAAGCCGCGACATCCACAAGACGGGGGCCAAGGGCACAGAGCGCAAGAGTGGGGTGAGCACACCGCCACAGATCGTAAGACATCGACGGGGACCTTCCATGTCGGAAAAAACTTTCTCCGGGCCCTGAAATTGGACATGCGTTATTGGGCATGTTGTTGTTTGAGTTTCATTTGCACCGCACTCTTTGAGGTTAGATGGATTTAGGGTCTGACATTCATGTGATACATGAGGCCTCATGTTGGGGTCTTGTTGCCAGGTTGCGATTCTTCAAGGACTTGATTACAAAAATATGACAGAGCGCAAGATTTTGGGGATCTGCAGGGAGAATGGGAATCAAGTATATGATGAGCCCAATTGATTGGAGACAAAGGGATCAGAGCATTTTTGGGATCAACGGAAATCAGCTTAGCTTTGTCTGGGGGCATTTATGCTCATGAGGGTTCACGGGGGGTAGGCTGCTGGGCAGGGTTAAAACCAGACAAAGAATTTGATGAAGGAAAAACTTTAGGAGTGAGTATCTACGCGTCTGACTCTGAACTAAACAGATTTTCTGAAGGGAAATAATCTAGTTTTGTGTCAGCTGAGGAACACTCAAGCACATGGAGCAGTGATGTGCAACAGTTGTTAAACATGTGGTTTTCACCACTTGCTTGTGAAAAGAGAAGGTTTGATTTGAGGGAGTGCAGTATGTTTTGGAAAAGTAGCTTTTCCCACAAAACATATGTGTTGCCGACAAGGTCTTATTATGCTGTATGATCGTGCTGGCAGGTTTAGGGTTAGGTTTGGGGTTTTTAGGGTTTAGGTTTAAGGTTTTTAGGGTTTAGGTTTAGGGTTCTTAGGGTTTAGGTTTCAGGTGTGTAAGGTTTAGGTTTAGGGTTGTTAGGGTTTAGGTTTAGTGATTTTATGGTTTAGTTTAGGGCGTTGAGGGTTTTTGGGGTTTTTAGGGCTTGTTTTTAGGGTTTTTAGGGTTTAGGTTTAGGGTGTTTAGGGTTTGGGTTTAGGTTTTAGGGTTTAGGTTTAGGGTTTCTAGGGTTTAGGTTTGCTTGGGGCTGGCTGTCCGTTAAGGGTTGTGTTGATGATAGCAGTATATAACCACGAAAAGTCGCCTCCATGAAGGGGGTATGGAGCATGGAGCTGGGGTGGGGCCCGGGGGGCTCGGAAGTGCGTTTTTGCTGCGCCTGCCACGCTTTTTGAAGGTCTCGGGCACCCGCTTCCGGGCGGTTGCGGGCAACACATACGTTTTGGCCGTAGCTTTACTAAGGGTTAGTTTAATAATCTCAGGTGGGCATTAGGTAGCCCCCCAGATAGATAGATAGATAGATAGACAGGTAGGTAGGTAGGCAGATAGATTTGCAGGGAAAGAAAGAGGTGAAAAAAGAAGGAGAAAGAGCAAAAGAGAAAGAGAGAAAGAGGAAGAGACAAGCAAAATAAGAAAGATCAGAAAGAGAAAAAAGGAGAGAGGGAGAGAGAGAGAGAGAGAGAGAGAGAGCGAGAGAAACAAAGACTGAAAGAAAGAAAGAAAGAAAGAACGAAAGAAAGAAAGAACGAAAGAAAGAACAAAAGAAAGAAAGAGAGAAAGAGAGAAAGAGAGAAAGAGAGAAAGAGAGAAAGAGAGAAAGAGAGAAAGAGAGAAAGAGAGAAAGAGAGAAAGAGAGAGAGACACAGAGAGAAAAAGAGAAAGAGTGACGAGAAGATTAAAGCAGGCTTCAACACGAAACACAATGCCAGCTCCGGGTCCACTCATGGCTTCCCTGAGTACAACACTAGTCATAAAACCCTCTTGATGCTAATGACGAGTATTTCTTCATCACGAAACTCCTTGTGCCACAGTGATCACAACACACCACGCTTTGACGAAGGAAGGCTAGATAGAGGGCACAAGGTTCGTACCCCGCAATGCACACCAACAAAAAACAGCTTGCAGCTGCGAAATCAAACCAATCATTGAAGGATAACTTTAAAGTCTGGCAAGGCCACGTGCAAAAGCATCACAACTGCAACACTATGCGTCTTTGGTCCCCGTATCTTTTAAGCTCATCACGCTTCCGCGTAGAACTTGGTAGGTGTGTCTGTGCAGGAAGCGAAACTTCGGGACCCGAAAAACCGGGCGACTTCCTTCCAGGAAGTCGCCAGTTTTGACCAATACCTCAAAGATTTCCCACACTGACCCCCAGACCAAACCCCAAAGAAACATGACAGCTAAGCCATACTTCGAGCTGATTTACCCCCGAGTTTACTCTGTTGAGTTGTCCTGAAGGGGTAGGTTCCAGGGGTCTGGCAGTACCACCTTTGAAGATCCCAAACCACGCAAATGAAACTTATGGGTGCCAAAAAAAACTAACTATGATCCAAAGCAGTCTGAACTGCACCATGGAGCATGTGCACGGTGGACAATAGACGCTTTGTGTGGACCCAAGCATCCGCGTGCCTTCCTTGAATGGCCTTGGTGGTGGGCTCTGAGGAGAAGCGGATCTCAAAGTTGTCATCATCGGACTGCTGATGGCGAGTGCTCAAACATGTGACTTCGCGCACCTTTGACACATTCACTTCCACTGTGTCCTCAGGATCCATCCACACCCACTCATCCCGGCACGCTATGCATTGCAACCTCCAGCCCAAGGGCAAGGAACTGCTGTGAAAGGTGTCAATCAACTTGTCCCCATCCACGCTGCGGCACTGCTGGTCCAAGACTTTCAGCTTCTGGATCAGCGCCGGCTCAAGGTCGATCTCCATGTTTGAGTTGATGGACAGGCGGAAATCTGGAGAGTAGCCCAATCGGCAGACGTCACCTCTGAAGAGCCGTTCGCTTTCTCTCTTCGCGACGAAGCCTGAAAGCAGAATCCAAGCTGATCAGTCAGAAACAGGAAAACTTTATGAGCAAAGTTTAAGCAAGGCTTTGGAGAACGCAATCGTGTGAGGTGCGAAGATGCCTTTGCCACACACACTTTGAAAAAATGCAGGTGACATGGCCGGCACAAGTGGCTAAGTTTCAGGCTGGCACCACTTCGGCTAGCCTGCCAGCGGTGTGGCAGTGGACTTTTGCATGAGTGCTCAGACTGTCAACTTGGTACCCTTCCTAAACATGGCGATGTCACGGGGAAACTTATCTTCCAGACACCCTCCCACAAATGCCATGTTAGGATGTTAGGGGTATGGCATGTGTTCTTTTCTTCGCAATGGCCTGCTTATGGCTAGGATGAACAAATCAATGATTCGATCGATAAGCCTGCGGCAACTATGCCAACTGCAGAATCTGCAGAATCTGACGCTGAAGAAAAGGATTGAGGCCAAGTTGATTGCACTTTGCTTTCTTTCAGCTGCAAAGATACCAGAAAATCGTGGTGATTGCCCTCGCAGAAATTGCAATACAACGGAAAATCATGGAACATGTTTGTGTGCTTGCTGGATTTTAGCTTTGTAAATCACCAACACGGTCAGAGCAATTCGTCCTTGAGCAGGACCGTTCAGGCACACATCTGAAAAATCTACCAATGCACTTGACAGGGACAGCTGCGTGCCGAAGCACTGGCCTCCTGGTATGGAGCACGCACACGCAGAGCTTCGTCAATCGGCATTGAAGGAGGTCCTCAGTCATGGCTCCATTTGCGGCGGACTTGATCCGCTGCTAGACTCGATTGGGCTCAAGGCTTGACTTTTGGACACGCTATCAGAGAGGCAGGCTCAAGGCTTGATTGTGGCTGCCGTTTTTTGGTGTTTTTTTTTTTTTTTTTTGAACGCACCCCAACCCCGCGCTAATAACCTGGTCTAGGCCCCGGGCTGGGGCGGTGTTTGATGTGTTTGGGTTTTCTTCGTGGCATTGGAAAGTGCAAAGGAAAGCGCAGGGTGAGCCCGGCTTTTGGCTAAGGGCAGCTAACACTCCCGGGACAGTCAAGTTACGGAATTCAGCCCTTGCAAGAAGACCTTCGGCCGACTGCTTGATAAAGTGCATGGCACAATGGCAGCCTTCAAACTCATTGTGTGATGGATGGAGAAGACACTCCAGCACGCTTCTTGCCACAGCTATTCGTGATGTTGACACTGTTTCATCAGGCAGCTCCAACACATCCCGATAAGAAGTGCAAGCCCATATACGCCTCATCACAGAGGCTTTGGTTTCTGCACTGACTGGGTCAAAGAAAGTGACCTCCATCTTGGCTCCATCTTCCGGTGTCTTGAGATAGTACGTGATATTCTGCAAGTTCTGAAGGGACCGGAAATTGCTCTTGCGGAGAACATCTGAAAATTTCCTCTCAATAGTGTCCTTCAGGCGCGCAGCCCACTGTCGCCGCAAGTCTTGGACACTCATTTGGTCTATGGCGCCTGGCATTTGCGCAGCTGGCAAACCAAGTTTACGGCCCCAGAAGAAGAGTTTGCCCAAGCGAACTGATACCCTGGCAGCTGACAACTTCTCATTCGGCATGTCGTGGAGACATCTATGGAATTGGGCGGAAAAACCCGACCAGTCAGTGGGGTCAGAACAGTAGGTGTAGGTAGTGGACGTAGTCTTTCCGCAATCCTGCGGTTCGGCATGAGGCACCTTCTCTAAGACAAAATACGGCCTTTGCTTTCCGCCTTCAGTTGTCTGCAGGAAATGTCCGGGGCAAACATGATAAGCCTCAAGGTTGGCTGGCACCAACTTGGCACACAAGGCATGAGAGACATCAATCAAAACATTCTCTCCGCGAGGAGGTTTGTGTGATGGACCTGCTCGATTTAGAAGCATCTGAATAGTGCGCGAAACTTCGTCGACCTGCTCTGATTCATCTAACCGACCTTGAATCACCATCTCCATCCGATGTGCTCGTCGCCCAGCAAAGGTGGCTTCCTGTTCCTTGAAGCTTATGGAAATGCGAAGGCTTGGATAGCTTGACTTGAGAGACTCCAAATGGTTTCCATTCTCTCCAATGACCATCCCTATGGCATACCCAGCCACTTCAAATCTCTTTTCCACAATCTCGCCGTCAGGCCTCCCTTTTGCGTCTTTGCTCCAAGCTGTTTTGGTACCTTTCCTACCACTTTTGCCCTTGCCCTTCGGACTATTGCCAGGCGCGCCTTTTCCTTCAATTCCTCTTGTGCCTTTTGCTCCTTTCGTTCCTTTCGCTGCTTCTGTCGCTTCCCCTTTGCTGGGCAAGGAGCTATACGTCTCCAGGGTGGGAAGCCCTGTGACGGTGGCCAAATCTGTTTGATGCAATCTTGCCTCGCACTCGGGGCAGTGCGTCACGCACCGGTCGCAAAGGTAGAGCTTGCCGCGGAACTGCTCACAGCCGGGGCTGCGACACATCAGCTTGCGCCGCCCATGCCGCAGGTTGCAAGCGTAGCACACTGCAAGTTCCAGGGAAGTTGTGGACGTCGCATCATCTCCCATGGCTCAGCCGAGGGGGGTTTTTGGCAAGTCTGTGAAGGAGCAAGGAGGCAGACTCCCAGCAGGCATTGCGATGGTACTAACGACATATTACACACAGGTAGTTGAACTCAAACCCAAGCCTCCTGCTGAACAAAAAAAGTGTGCGCTTGACATGCATCCGCGTTCCAATTGCCAAGTGATAAACCGCGGACAACGCACCATCAAATCAGCTCCAAGCCGCCCCGTCCACATAGTTCTGGTGGAAAAGGTGCAGAACCAGCAATGGAAACAGCCACTGGCCAATCCATGCCCAAATTTGTTTCGAGACCTCACATTCCCAGTGTCTCACAGGTTTCCTGAATGCCTGTGACCCAACGAAATGTCAACCTCAGATGGAAAGGAATGAATTCTAGGCAAAATGTAACGGCAGCAGGGTGGAAAACAGTCCAGTCTGCACAGGAGCAGCTATAAGTGTTGACGCAAGTGCACCTGCTGTTTATCTTGTTGCAAAGCCGCTCGCTAGTGCTTGTATTGTACAGTAGTGCTAGTTTCCCTATAATGCTGCCTCGAACTCATGCCCATTGTCTTGCTCAATGGTGATCGTTCCGGAACTATTGAAGAGGCTTGGGGAGGAGTGGGTGACAAGATTGTGGGGAGTGGTTCAGTAGGGGTTCCACAGGCGCAAACGAAAACTGCTTAAAGCTAAGCGCCTCGGCGTGTGTCCAAAAGAATTCCCAGCATACAGCCCCCAAGCAGACAAGCTCTGCACGCCCAGAGAGGCGCTCTCAAACAAACATTTTGCGCAACTCACTGATCAAATCTGAGACATCTAAGTGACACTGGGGCGAGGGCCGAGTTCACAAGCGGCCAGCGCCCTTTCACGAAGTAACCTTTCTAAACACCCGAGTGCAGTCCAACGTTGTGCCTTCACCTCTGGTCCGCACGACTTTGCGCGAATAGGACTCGCCACCGGCGTCCACGTTCAACCTGCCACGCATCTGGCTATGATCTGTGAGCGCAGAAAAGCAACTTGGGAGCAGCACGTATCACAGAGACTTCCTTCGCCAGGCGGGAACTCAGTGACCAGCTCCTGCACAAAGCCAAGAAGAATCTGGGCAAAAGCCTTTAACTGGCAACAGGTTGCCAGTTTTGGCAGCCAAGCACCTGAAAGCACCAGCATCATCAGCCCCCGCCAATTGGCCAGCACCCTCTAGTGGTGGCAATACAAATCCTGGACGCGGAAGTTGGAAACTCCTCGTCTTGTGTGCTGTTTAACCGCCTTACCGATCTTATTCTGAAATCATTGACCATGTCGTCTTTGTTGTTTTGCGCTGCACCGAATGGCCAGAACACTTCTGCTATCTCATAGGGGACTCTCATAGGTTTCTAATTAACGTTTCAACACCTAGACTTGTGTCCTTCGTTTGAGGATATCCCAAATGCAGCTATGCGCAGTCAGGCAATTCACAGAGGTGCTGTGAAATGGTCCCCGGACTGAACTCAGCGCACGACAAGTCAGCCCTTAGCCCAAGGTTGCATGCCACAAAGCCTTGGGCCAAAGGCCTTTTGACCTGCATGCTCCTTGCAGATTGGCAACCGGATGAGAATCGCACGAAGCAGAAAAAGCTGAGGTCGGTCAAAGCTTCTGTATGGGTTTATTCGGGTGTGGTCCCAATCCAAACCTCATAGCAACTTGTTCAGGTGTTTGTTTGGGGGGGATCTTCCAGGGGAATTAGTTGCTTTTCCCAGGGACAAATGCCCCAAGCGAGAAATCGCCAACTGCAAGCACGTCCAGCTCGTTCTCCGTGCATTTGGACAGGCGTAATCGCCTTGGCAACGGCAAGTGAGGCTGGCCATAAACAAAAACCAGCAGTGAGGGCATTGTAAAGTGCGCGTGGCTTCAGACTGCCATTTGCAGCAAAGGCACATTTCCCCCCTCATGCGGCCGGCTGGTGGGACAGCTTTGGTGACCCAACTGCCATCCACAGGTAGCACATCTTCCACCGTCACCAAGTTCTTCACTATGAAGGTGACGTGGCTGGATGATTTGCTGATGATCATGACTGACCTCAGAGCTCCCTCTCTTGACACAAGTGGTCGTCGCAAGGCTCAAAATCTCAACCCAAATGCCTTGCGAGTCTCGTTTTTGCATCGGCGGCCTTTCGGATCAAGTAATTCACACCCATATCCTGGGAAGAGGATGCGAGAATCAAGCGGTGACCATGGTCTATCCGCTGCGACCATATCCGCAACTGCGACTCCTTCAGAATGGTCTCGTACTTTTCGCTGCAGCTTTTATCCAGGACCCATGTCCCACACCATCTGGGCGGGGCTTCGGCCTGAGCCTTGGCTTCTGCCACGGCTTTTGCCTACGCCGAGTGCCCAGTGCCCTGACTCATTCAAGCCAGGGGCATCAGCACTGTCCTTGAGAAGCTGCACTTGTTCAACCTTAGGCTTCCACAAGATGATTGCAAAATGCTGCAGGTTCAATTCAGCTTCTTGCGGGGGGTATCCCTCAAAATCTGCACTCACAGAAAGCTGTGACAAGATGAAAGGCATCCGAGGATCCGAAAAGGTGACTTCATGAACTGCCGCAGATTGCATCCAGCTCACGAGTTGCCAGAGCAGGGCAACCTCATGTCATCCAGCGGCTCAAAAACTCACGGCTCGCGACTCCCACTCCATTGATCCAGAGGTGTTTTTCCACCAGCCCAGTGCATCCCGAACACAAAAAAAAACACTTGAACCCAAATGAGAATGCCACATGTGAGCCTGATAAATGGAAGGTCAGCGACTTGGCTAAACAGCTGCGATGCAGGAGAAGACAAGCACTTGCTGCTCGGGTCGTCAACACCCTCTTTATTACTTTCTGCGAACGCGTTCAGATCCCCAAGCATCCCGGGCCATGCTCGGCTGGGCATTCGGGGCCTTTCAAGGACCTTCTCTCAGCACCCAGAATTCTGGCGGAACTGGCACCCGAATCCGTCTCGTTTGCCTACATCGCTCCCCCGCAAGATGACAGCGCGCAGCGGAGGCCGGGCTTGGTTCGCTGCGTTGGCTAAATGCTGCTTGTTAGTTGGGCTAGTCCTGCTGGTGCTTCTGGTGCGGATGGTGTGCCAACGGGTGGACAAACAGGTCATGTTGAGTCAGTTGTGCTTCAGCACGTGTCAGCGCACCCCAAGACATAAAGCATGTTGCTGCTGCGTTTGCAATCGCCGCGGCGGATGTGCACGAAGTCGAAATGTTCAACCTGGATTTCCGTCCTGCGTCACGGGTGAAACTAGTTGCGCCAGTGTCCAGTTGCCGCCGCTGTTCCAGAGATGTTCACAATCAGCAATGTTAGCTGTCAACCCCCCACCAGGCGTGACCCAAAGCTTTTTGCTGGCAAATGATCTAGTGGCTCATGGGGCCGCGGCGATCAGCCCTGTGATGTCCACACCCACAAAGTACATCCAGGCCGAGAGCAAGCCTAGCACAAGGAAGACTTTGCCCTACCGCCACTCAGCGTCGGGAAGAGCAGCTGTTGCAACGCGCGCTAGCCAATCTTTCAACATCCTCATTTAGCTCTCAACGCGGGGTCACCCAAATAATCGCTGGCGTAGTTCAAAGCAGTTCTCCGAATTTCAGCGCCCACCTTTGAGGAGCCAAAACAGGCTTCCCTCCTAAACATCACCCCAACCAAAAAAAATCACTGGAAGTTGGAAATATGGGGAGCTTTAAAAGAACCAGGGGTTCAGAACAATTTTGAGAACCCCTCCAAATCCAACGTCCAAGGCTGCGGCTTGCCACTCCCAGGAGCAGCGGCTGGGCGGTCCGCTGCAACCGGTTGCCCAGCACCTGGACCTCAGCGAGTGCGCTGCCTTCGGCTAGGCCCCAAAAAAATGGATATGTATATATATATATATATATATTTATGCTCACACCCCCCCCCCCCCCCATGAACTACATTTGGGGCACGTGTCATTGATCCATCTGCTCATCTGCGTCTGAACTTGTCAAGTCTGCCAACACTACATTTGGGGCATGTGTCTTTGATCCATCTGCTCATCTGCGTCTGAACTTGTCAAGTCTGCCAACACCAACTTGTCCTTGTTCATCGGAGGTCTGTGTCTGCATCCACCAAGTGCCAAAGATAACACCAAATGCATCTGGATGAGGAAATGTTGAGGAAATGTGAAGACATGTCAACCATATTCTGAGCAAGAAGTGAACAAGTCATGAGGGAGCAATGATGAAGCAGAGACGAAGCAATGAAGAAGTGATGAGGAGGTGATGAGGAAGTGATGAGGAAGTGATGAGGAAGTGATGCGGAAGTGATGAAGCATTGACGAAGTAATAAACAAGTGATGAGGAAGTGATGAGGAAGTGATGCGGAAGTGATGAAGCAGTGACGAAGTAATGCAGAAGTGATGAGGAGGTGATGAGGAAGTGATGAGGAAGTGATGAGGAAGTGATGAAGTAGTGACGATGTAATAAAGAAGTGATGAGGAAGTGATGAGGAAGTGATGAGGAACAAAAAGTTGCAACTCCCGCACCTGCTGTGGAGTGGTCTGCTCTATTAGCCAAAGGCTTCTGACACTGCAAGCTGGACTGCGAAAAGAACCGAGCGCGCTGCTGTACTGAGTCCAAGGGCACCTCCTCTTCAAATAGACTGACCAACACACCACAAACCAAAAAAAACAAAAAAAACACGAAGAAACCAAAGAAAACCAAAAAAACCTCGAGAAAACCAAAAAAACCAAAAAACCAAAGACTTTGCTGGTTTTGGAAGACTGCTTTGGTTTTTTGGTTTTCTCGAGGTGTTGTTTGGTTTTCTTTGGTTTTCCTCGAGTTTTATTAGTTTTTTTTGAGCTTATGGAGTCCAAAAACCAAAAAACACATGTTTTTTTTTGGTTTGTGCACAGTGCTTACCCACCAAAACCATAAAATGCACTGTGTTTTTTGGTTTTTGGGCTCCATAGGCTCAAAAAACCACAAAAACTCGAGGAAAACCAAAGAAAACCAAAAAAAACTCGAGAAAGCCAAAAAACCAAAGCAGTCTTCCAAAACCAGCAAAGTCTTTGGTTCTTCGGTTCTTTGGTTTTTTGGTTTTCGAGGTTTTTTTGGTTTTCTTTGGTTTTCCTTGAGTTTTTTTGGTTTTTTGAGCTCACATCTGCGTCTGAACTTGTCAAGTCTGCCAACACCAACTTGTCCTTGTTCATCGGAGGTCTGTGTCTGCATCCACCAAGTGCCAAAGATAACACCAAATGCATCTGGATGAGGAAATGTTGAGGAAATGTGAAGACATGTCAACCATATTCTGAGCAAGAAGTGAACAAGTCATGAGGGAGCAATGATGAAGCAGAGACGAAGCAATGAGGAGGTGATGAGGAAGTGATGAGGAAGTGATGAGGAAGTGATGAGGAAGTGATGAAGTAGTGACGATGTAATAAACAAGTGATGAGGAAGTGATGAGGAAGTGATGCGGAAGTGATGAAGCAGTGACGATGCCGAAGTGATGAGGAGGTGATGAGGAAGTGATGAGGAAGTGATGCAGTAGTGACGATGTAATAAACAAGTGATGAGGAAGTGATGAGGAAGTGATGCGGAACAAAAAGTTGCAACTCCCGCACCTGCTGTGGAGTGGTCTGCTCTATTAGCCAAAGGCTTCTGACACTGCAAGCTGGACTGCGAAAAGAACCGAGCGCGCTGCTGTACTGAGTCCAAGGGCACCTCCTCTTCAAATAGACTGACCAACACACCACAAACAAAAAAATAAACAAAAAAACACGAAGAAACCAAAGAAAACCAAAAAAACCTCGAGAAAACCAAAAAAACAAAAAACCAAAGACTTTGCTGGTTTTGGAAGACTGCTTTGGTTTTTTGGTTTTCTCGAGGTGTTGTTTGGTTTTCTTTGGTTTTCCTCGAGTTTTTTTTTTTTTTGAGCTTATGGAGTCCAAAAACCAAAAAAACACATGTGTTTTTTTGGTTTGTGCACAGTGCTTACCCACCAAAATCATAAAATACACTGTGTTTTTTGGTTTTTGGGCTCCATAAGCTCAAAAAACCAAAAAAAACTCGAGGAAAACCAAAGAAAACCAAAAAAACCTCGAGAAAACCAAAAAACCAAAGCAGTCTTCCAAAACCAGCAAAGTCTTTGTTTTTTTTTTTTTTGGTTTTCGAGGTTTTTTTGGTGTTCTTTGGTTTTCCTTGAGTTTTTTTGTTTTTTGAGCTCATGGAGCCCAAAAACCAAAAAAACACAATGTGTTTTATGGTTTTGGTGGGTAAGCACTGTGCACAAACCAAAAAAACACATGTGTTTTTTGGTTGTTGGGCTCCATAAGCTCAAAAAACCAAAAAAACTCGAGGAAAACCAAAGAAAACCAAAAAAAACTCGAGAAAACCAAAAAACCAAAGCAGTCTTCCAAAACCAGCCAAAGTCTTTGGTTTTTTGGTTTTTTGGTTTTTTGGCTTTCTCGAGGCTTTTTTGGTTTTCTTTGGTTTTCCTCGAGTTGTTTTTAGTAAACAGAAAACATCAAAAAATGGAAGTTTACCACTCGGCCAAAAAAGACTTCAAAAACTCAGTGTTTTTTGCACTTTCTACTGCTGAGATGCAATTGGTTGAGGGCCGAAATCCGGCCGGTAGTTTCTTGCAGTTGTACTTCCAAAACATGTAGAAAACACCGTAAATACCAGTGTTTTGTAAGGGTTATATAAACTGAGCAATGCAAATGTAGTTCATGGGGGGGTGTGACCATATTTATATATGTGTGTGTATTTACTTGTCATGTGAAAACCACAAAAAAACAAGGAAAAAAAACGACGGATGGATGGACGGATGGACGGATGGACGGAAGGACGGACTACGGACTGACTGACTGGCTGGCTGGCTGGCTGACTGACTGACTGGCAAATCAACAACTACGCAAATCAAAACAAAACAAAACAGGACAGACCAAATCAAACTAAACCAAACAAAACAATGCAAAACAAAACAAAAACTAAATCAAACACAATGTAGGTGGGAAAATGGAGCGACAGACAGACCAAACCAAAGAGACCAAGCCAAACAAAACAAAACAAAGGAAACGAGCAGAAGGAAAAATACTCCACCCCGGGGGTAAAAAGAGCAAAGTCACGGCCGGGGCGCGCTGAGACTCCATTCGTCTGAGCACACACCTGTGCAAGTGGCACCCTGTACATGCCACCCCTTCCCGTAAAAAAGGAAAACATGAGCATTGCACGACACCAGTGGAGCCGACTGAGCATCGCTGGGCTCTCATGTGCACGAACTCAACTCTGCTTTCCCGCCTTTCCCAAGAAGTTCCACCTGCAACCGGCCAATCGACCAGGCGGATCGACTCGCGAGTCGTGATGCGAGTCGTGCTGGTCAGATCAAGGCACCGGAAAGGACGTGGAGCAGCCGGACTTGCACTTCTGGAGCGCCAGCCTGCACAGCGCCTTCGCCGAACCAAAGGAGCGGCGAAAACCGCGAATGCGAGTCGCGGTTTGGCACCTGCGCTCCTCCTGCCACTGGCAACTCCTGTGGCAAAAGGGAGCTTCTCAAGATGGTGTACCCCTTTTGCTTGGTATGCCAACAGGAAGCCAGCCATTTTTGAGAAACCCTCAAACGGTGATAACCTTCTGGTTTTTTTTTGGCGCGCGTGTCCTGGATTAAGATTGTCGCACAGGCCGCCGAAGCAAGTCGCACGGATACTGGCTGTCCCAGCGCTACTGCCTGCCATGCCACGAACGCAAGCGGGCGCAACTGGGCAGCTCGCCTGATGAGGCCGGTCCGCGTGTACCAGAAGCAAGCCCGGCCCCTGGCTTGCAGGCTGAGGAACCGAACCCATGCGGTCCATAAGCTCGGGCGGAGCGCCTTGCCAGCGCAGGGCCTGGCCAAAGGCGATCAGAACTTGACACGGAGAGCTGCAAAGCCAGTGCGCACACTGATCTCAGGACCAGCCCCAGCCAAGCCGGAAGTCATTTGGCTGCCAATGCAGCGAAGAAAGAGCATGTCATGGCCAACAATATCATGTCATGAAGATTTCATGCAGGCCTCTCGGAAGTGGTGGACTGACAAATCTGATTGAACAAGGGTAAAATCAACTGGCCAAGTGCGAAACTGCATCTGACTCTGTTCTCAAGCATGAGATGAGAGCGCCCTAATTTGTGTTTACCCTACCTGAAGAGGGAATGGGGAGGTTCCCCCAAGAAAAAATGAACCAGAACTAGAATTCCAGGCCCCCTCCCCCAATTCCATTTTTGTGAGGGTGGGGTTTTACCCCTTTTCGGATCATGTTGGAAGGGGCAAACAGCTGCAGGTGCTGGGGTTGCGTGGGCCATCGCTCAGGGCAACTCCAATGCCCTGACATATACCCCAAGTACACAAGGAAAGAACCGAATGGGTAAATCGCCCCAGCGAATACAACTGCAGCAAGTGAGCTAAGTATCAAGCCGTTGTTCGGGTACCACAGACAGTACCCGGGACTGGTGAAGAGAAAACGGGACAGCGTGCCTCGATGGCTTTGTGCAAGCCTGATTGGCTTCCTCCACACCTCCTCGCGCAATACGTCAAGAAAACCGGCAGCATCAACAGGCAACCAGGACCAATCGCACAACTTGAATGCTACAAAAAGTCGTGCTAAAGGACATCTCCTGCTGCATTGATGGCTTGCAGCCACCGCTGCTGCTCTGCTTCAGTCTTACAACCTGAAACGGTCCACGTCCACCAGCCAAGCCACTGACCGGCCAAGGCACTGAGAAGGTCTCGCCCTGCTCGGATGCAGTAGGGACGGCCCGGGTCCTGAACGCGAAAACCAGAAGTTCAGTGCCATGGTAGCCAAACACTCACGCTGCTCCTGAGCAGCCTCCGCAACGAGGCCTGCAAACCAATCGTTCTTGGCACATGCGAAGTCAAACTACACATAACTTGATGTGGCTGTGGGTCAAGATTGTGTACCCAAACTGGAACCCTGGCAAATGGAAATATGGACAAAAACCTGCGGTCCAATTCCTGGTGGATTAGTTTTGACCCACACCCATGTCTAATTGCGAATATCGCCTGCCAAAGGGATCTTCCCTCGCACGTCCTCGCCGTTGTCCTGCAAACACTTTGGCCACAGCGACACATTGCCACGTCGCCTCTTTCCGGGGACTGACTAAGATTCGGGCGTCGAGGAAAGCAGGGGGCGAGATGAAATATTTGATGCAGTCCTGCCAGGAAATAAAAAAGTAAACAAAAGCAAAAGCGATGGTCTTTGTGCTCCTCGTCCATGACGAAGAACCTTTCGGACCACTCTTTCCGCCAGCGGCTTTGCTTCTCCAGCATGCCAGCAAGCCTGCTGCAGCGCGCATCTGCCATCGCATCGAGCGATAAATATCTGATGCGCAGAGTGGGCAAAGAGATCCCCTCTGGCCGCGGTAACCGCTTAGGATGCCAAAAAGTGCGGCGAGCTGCTGGGCATGTTGCTTAGACTCCGTGCATGCTGTTCGCTCTGTGGATGCGAGTGGCCCGGGTTTTGCATTCCGAATGAGCCACGCGCCTGCGGCAGTGTCGGGTGCCTGTGCGGAGCGGGCTGCGCCAAGGCCAAGACAAAGGCTCCCGGCTCAGGCCAAACCATCCGCTCCTTTTCCACCGCGATCCGCGCCATCCCGATGGAAGTGAAACCTCCCCAGACTCGGGGCTTTGATAGTTCGGCTCCAAGAAGCGACATCCTTTTGGCACCTGAAAACGAACCCATCTGTCCGCTATCCCGTGCCACCCTTCTTGCCCATGTTCCCAAAGTTCACGCCCAGAGAGCTTGGGAAACCCAGCTTTTGGAAGTTCTTCTTCATGTCCCCCGAGATCTTCTTCAAATCCTCGGACGCCCTGGCACCTTTGTTCAGGGCATCCCCCAGGTAGTTCATCGTGGACCCGATGGATGGGACCTGAGAGAAAAAAAAATGCAAAGGGAAGCGGAAACCCCATCCAAAAAAAAAGAAAAAGAAAAAAAAAGCTGCCAATGTGTCAAAAGTTGAATGCTCCCGCCAATGCAAGGCTGCTTTTCCTACAGGGCTCGGACACATCTTGCAGCCCTCTCCCAGGAATCTCAGAGCCCATGCCTGAGGTCCCCACACCCGCGGCTGCAAAACGGTCGGCTTCTTGGCGGAACTGTTGCTCCACAGAGCCTTTGCCAGGGGGAAGCTTGCATGAAAGGGGGGGGGGTTGGGGTTCGGGGGGGGGGGGCAGCCATTCTGAACACATTGGCAGTTCATGTTGACCCCATATGAATCCAACCCCGGTTTGTTGATACCGGGGGGGTGGGAGGCCCCTCGAAAAGTGATCTGGTGCCCAGCTAAACCCAGGGACACCATGACACCCCCCTATTAACTTAAACTGGGTTGATGAATATGGGGTCAACATCACCTCTGCGTCCCCGTCCTGCAGAGGAGCTGGCATCACCTGCGCAAATCATGGCCAGCCTTTTCTCACTTGCTGAGTAGATGTCCCAAAAAAAGTCCAAGTTTGATATTTACCACTTGTTTGGTCTTCCCAAAAAGTTTAAAGTTCATGAACTCAGGAAGTGAGTTTTCGCTCGCATCACAACAACCGGCCTGCACGAAGGGCCAGCAGCTGCTGAACCACGGGATCCTCGGAGCTGTCGCCCAGCATGGCCGTGATTGATGCCGCGTCCACGTCGGGCGAGCTTAAGACCTTCAGCATGATCTCGGCCTTCCCCATCTCACGCCTCAGTTTGACAACAGCGGGGAAGTAAACCTCGCAAAAAGTTGAAGAAACCCTGCAAGCCTAGGAGGTAGCAGGAGCTGGCTCAGCCGAGCTTTGTGGGTCAAAAAAGCAGGCAAGCAAACTTCGCAAAAGGCAAGGTAAGCTTTCACCACCTCATGGACCCATGGGCCCCCCCCGCCCCCATACCCCCCCCCCTAGTCCATGGCCACCTCATCTGTCGAGGTTCAATACATAGTTGCTGTACGCCGTGGGCATCTGTCGCCCATGCCCGGCCACCACCGGCGCCTCCAGCAGAGTGGTTTTGATGAGGGCCGTGTCCAGCAGCAATTGCTGCGCCCCGCGCTCGCTGATCTTCTTGCACTTGTACACCTCCGCCACGAATCTGGCCACGAAGGATTGCACAAACTTGTCGCAGAAGAAGCCTGGACCAAAAAACCCTCGAAAAAGGTACGACGTGTGGTGAGTGGAAAGGAGAATGGTGCAACAACAAAAAAAACGGTTAAAGGGTAAGCTAAGTCAGGCAATGAAGCGGTAGTGAATTTTGGACAGATGCGCGGCGATGGGCTCGAACTGCTTGGGCAGCTTCTCCGAAATATCCCCCACAAAGGCGCTGTGATCACCCACATCCTGGCGTTCAACATCTCCACGGAAACAATGTGCTGCAGGCTATAAAAACGCAGGTCCAAAAGCACCGTCCAAAGCTCATTTTCGGCATGTAAGCTGAAACACAATTCCTTGCGCTTTGGTGCGCCCAATCGCACGAGCGCACGCACGCGGTGCACATCCTGCCGCGCCTTGTGCATGTCCTGCCCTTCACCCATCATGTTTTTATGCGTGATGAACCGCTCTGCCCACTCCCTGCGCGAAGCCTAGCCAGAGCACGATCCGAAAGCGTCGCCCGAGCACCTACAGCGCGCACAACACAAAGGCTCCACATGCGCTGTGAGCCGTCTTTGTTTCAAGTTGGCCTTAGCTGCGGCAAGCCTTCCTTTGCCCCAGCAGAGCTCTAGAGAAAGACGTGTGAACATGGTGCAGGTAGTTGGCTAAATTGTTACCTTGGCAGCTCGTGTTGATGCCTATTTTTTAGAATTTGGCTAAACTTGCTTAGCGGAACTCCTTGCAAAATAAAACCACTGAGTTTCTCTGATATTTTTGCATGTGATACTTCACGGGATGCTAATGGTTCGACGGCATGGCGCTCAAGTTGCGTAGCTGAAAACTCTTTGGTAGCTTGTGATGCTGCCTTCTTTGCGTCTTGCCGTGAGTCGGTGTGTGTTTGCGTTGTGTGTGCGTGTGTCTCAGCATTCTTGCGTTTGTGCGCCTGCCTTCACCCCGCAAAACGTTGCCCGCAGCCCGATCGGACAGAATCGGAGACCTGTGCCTTGAGAATTCCAGAACCTTTTTGGTACCCCCGGAAGCTTCCCTTGGCCAGGCCTAGGATTGGCTTCGACCCACCAACTTTTGTGGAAACACAAAGGGCCATGGGTCAAATCGTACCCCCAGTGAACATCCCAATCCCCACTAAAATAGGTTCTAAAGTGGGTGGTGCACCTACCAACCAAAATGGGATCCCATTGGTTTTGACCCACAACCAAAGAAGCTCGCTCGCTCGCCCCGTCCTGTGAGAAGGCCGCCCAGTTGGTGCGCGTCATGCTGCCAAAGGCCTCGTCCAAGCTGCAGCTCACTGACTGCACCAGTGCGTCGTTGGCACGGTTCACAAGGTTTCGCAGCACCTCCTGCTCATCTTGGAAGCCTCGTATCAAAAACCAGACATCAGTGAAAACTCGATCATTCTGTGTGTGTGTGTGTGTGTGTGTGTGTGTGTGTGTGTGT